TGTAAAAAGAAAGCTCAACAACTCTCGGGGTGTCCTGCTGGTTACTTTTTGAAATATGGTAACCCTAAAATATAAGTCAGCATATGTGCTCCAGAGACCACCAACTTATATACAAGTAAATAATATGTGGAACTTAACATGGGCCGTTGTAGTGGAACATCAGTTCATTGGGTCTGTGGTTAGGTGTAGTGAATATGTTAATTTCATTTTCCCTCAGCCTTTATTTTTCTGCTCTTAAATTCAGTTCATCCCATTCCTACACGTCTGTGGGTTTTTTAAGGCCTCAAAAAAAGAAATCACCAGCATTTTTGGACACTTTCTCCTGATATTCACATTTTTGCAATACCTATTGCATGTTATTTCCGCCCACAAGGTGGAAACCAAAGAAGTGATCATAACAAACACTGCAATTTTAAAAGGAACCACTTATTCCTAATTGTCTAGTCTGCTATTAGCAATGTGGTTTTTCCATCTGTGCCGTTTCTAGAAGATGTAGATAAAAATGGACCTGCTGTTAGATGTGACATTTTAAACTAGAGTCCACTAGTAGATAATAGGTGGTCCCTGGTCCTGAATGGGGTAACTGTGCCCCTGAAGGACCAGGTGTGCAGCCGGGAGTCTTTTTGGACTCACAGCTGTCCATGGAGGCGCAGGTTAATTCTGTGTCCAGGGCAGCTGTTTATCAGCTCCATCTGGTACGCAGGCTGAGACCCTACCTGCCCGCAGACTGTCTTGCCAGAGTGGTGCATGCTCTAGTTATCTCTTGCTTGGATTACTGCAATGCGCTCTACGTGGGGCTACCTTTGAAGGTGACCCAGAAACTACAACTAATCCAGAATCCAGCTGCCAGACTGGTGACTGGGAGCGGCCGCCGAGACCACATAACACTGGTCTTGAAAGACCTACACTGGCTCCCAGTACATTTCTGAGCACAATTCAAAGTGTTGGTGCTGACCTTTAAAGCCCTAAACGGCCTCGGTCCAGTATACCTGAAGGAGCGTCTCCACCCCCATCGTTCTGCCCAGACACTGAGGGCCAGCACCGAGGGCCTTCTGGTGGTTCCCTCCCTGCGAGAAGCCAAGTTACAGGGAACCAGGCAGAGGGTCTTCTCGGTAGTGGCACCTGCCCTGTGGAACACCCTCCCACCAGATGTCAAAGAGAACAACAACTACCAGACTTTTAGAAGACATCTGAAGGCAGCCCTGTTTAGGGAAGCTTTTAATGTTTAATGGGTTATTGTATTTTGGTGTTCTGTTGGAAGCCGCCCAGAGTGGCTGGGGAAACCCAGCCAGATGGGCGGGGTATAAATAATAATAATCATCATCATTATAGGTGCAACGACTGATGTTGAAAGTTCCTCTGGATCCAGCCCAATGTCTCCATACCATTTGTGATGTTTGCCAGAGTTTCCAAGGTCTAGTTAGCCTGACATTCCAGCTTCCATTTTAAAAAATACAACAATTGAACACCGTCTTTAACAAGTCAGCAACAACCCACATGAAATACTTGGCTTTTTTTGCTGCTTAAAATGCTGTATAAGTCTGGCATGAGGGCTTTGCCCCTTAGGAGCTTAAAATAAATACAGCGAAGTAGTAGCGTATTAATGTCTTAGATCGTGATAAAAGGTTAATGTGTCACTGCTAGGGGTGCAAACTTTAATTGGTAGGTTAATTAGTGTGGGCCAATTTTAAGCAGCTGGAAATCAAGGCATACTTAGAATGCTATTTTTAGTTAAGATAATAGAGCTCTGCCTTATACTAAGTCTTGCTCGACACCGTCTATTTCTTTAACAAATTTCTACTCCCCTTTTATGAAACTTTCCTTAGATTGTAATGCTCACACACAAAAACAGCAATATATAAAGCAACATAATTAAAACAAAAGGTCACAACTTTGGTGCAGTTTTTAAAAATAGCAGTCAGTGATAAACATTAAGGAATCAAAACAGCACAGCCCAATGAAATCATACCATCACAAAACAACATAGCACAGTAACAGCTGCTTGAGTAAAATCCTTAAAATTATGGGAAGTCAGCTGTAAATAAATAGCATAAAAGCTTGAGAGATAAAAGTTAAAAATTCAAATTGGAACAGAGTTCTACGGATGTGACCCCGCTACAAAAAACCCCCACAGCACACCAGAAGGACCTCGGAAGTGGGGCTTTTGGGTGAAGTCAGGCCTTCAAGTAACTTGGTCTTAAATCAGCTGGGGCTTTAAAAATCATTACCAGCGCTTCAAATTGCCTAGTCAGAGGTTTAGAACGCAGTGGGTTTCACACCCCTGGTATGTTACTATAACAAGGAATAAAATTCTAGAAAATTGTATTCCTTTTCAACTCATGGTATATTTCGCCTGTTGGATTTTTCGGTTATCTAACACCTGAATGCATTAAAAAGGCAACTATAGTGAAATGTTGGTAAAGTGCCACATTTATTTTTGTTTGCTAATTAATCACTTGGCAAGGAAACTAATATAATATTAGTAGTAGGAGGAGGAGTGCTTTTTTTCTAGAAAGTTGTTACAGCAAGTGACACACTTTTTAACAACAAAAAAGAGGTGTTGGTACTGAGTACCCATGAGTATCCCCTGAAAAAAGTACCGATTCTAATTAGTAGTAGCAGTAGTATTTAAATTTCTATGCCTCCCCTTCATCTGAGGATCACAAGGCAATTTTATACACTATAAAAACACAAAAATACATACCATAAAAATGAACAAAAACAATACCCCCCCTCCCCGGTTTAAAAAGCCATAGAATGTTTAACTAGCCCAGGCATAGGCAAACTCGGCCCTTCAGATGTTTTGGGACTACAACTCCCATCATCCCTGACCACTGGTCCTGTTAGCTAGGGATCATGGGAGTTGTAGCCCCAAAACATCTGGAGGGCCAAGTTTGGGGATGCCTGCTAATCCCTAACCATCCAGACAGCCCTGTGAGGTAGGCTAGGCAGGGCTATAGATATAGTCACGGTGCCGAATTTATGTCTAAGCCAAGCATAGGCAAACTCGGCCCTCCAGATGTTTTGGGACTACATCATCCCTGACCACTGGTCCTGTTAGCTAGGGAATGATGGGAGTTGTAGTCCCAAAACATCTGGAGGGCTGAGTTTGCCGATGCCTGGCTTAGACATAAATTCGACACCGTGACTATATCTATAGCCCTGCCTAGCCTACCTCACAAAGCTTGTTTTACAAATGCTTGCAGAAATTTAAAGGAGTGCCCTGTGTTTAGTAGGAACAATGACACCATGTCCTTGCCAACAAGTGTACATCCACCTGTATCTCACAGAAGATAAATGATCAGAGTTATATCTGTTCACAGCAAAAACTGGCAACAGATGTATTAGGATCATTTATTGTTTCTATATCACTTACAAATGGTAAACTTATGGTATAGTTATGCTTCCTCTGACAGGCTACATTCTGATATCTCCAGGAAATCTGTTGGAATCTCAGCAACCCTAGTTTATGAAACCTGGGAAAAGATCTGGCCATCCTATCCACTAGGATCTTTGTCTACACAAACACTGAGTCAGACTGGTACATGCATGATCTTGCCCAATTGGACATCCTTCGATCGCACCTTTTAATCACAGTGCAAATGCTATGTGTACCAGCAGGCTGTTCAGCTTGAGTCTTGAGAGTCCCATGGACTGCAAGAAGATCAAACCTCTCAATTCTTAAGGAAATCAGCCCTGAGCGCTCACTGGAAGGACAGATCCTGAAGCTGAAGCTCCAAGACTTTGGCCACCTCATGAGAAGAGAAGACTCCCTGGAAAAGACCCTGATGATGGGAAAGATGGAGGGCACAAGGAGAAGGGGACGACAGAGGACGAGGTGGTTGGACAGTGTTCTCGAAGCTACCAGTATGAGTTTGACCAAACTGCGGGAGGCAGTGGAAGACAGGAGTGCCTGGCGTGCTCTGGTCCATGGGGTCATGAAGAGTCGGACATGACTAAACGACTAAACAACAAGTTCAAGAATCCTTTGCAATGTGCACCCAGACATTGGTACCCAGACCCTGCCAGAGTGAAAGATACCCATGCTCAGCTGCAACAATGTGCTTGTAAACGCAGAACTGAACAATTTTATTGTGGGTGGCAAACCAAGTTAAAGAGGAAAACTTCTCCTTGAGGTTCCAGTTTAACCTGGCACAGTGTCAACCTTGCGCAACTGTTGCAGCAAGAGTCTTGATAGCACAAGCATGGAAGAATGAGGAAACCCCGACAAAAGTACAGTGGCAAGAGAAATTAATGAATTATGCAGAACTGGCTAAACTGACATACAAACTGCGAGACAACTGTGACTTCAAAGAAGAATGGGAACTTTTTACAAACTATCTAAAAAGACAACAAAATGAACTGGACTCCTTGGCAGGTTTTGAATAAACATACACAAATTTATTATTGTTAATATAGTAGATAGATAATATACGGATTTATACAATTTTACAGTATGCAGAGAACAATATGTGTTAAGAAATCAAAGAGAGGAGCTGAGGGAAGTCTGGGGGGAGGGGGGAGGGTTCATTGGGGAGGTGGGGGGAAGGGGAAAAAAAGAATATGATATGTTTTGATATTTTGTTATGTTGAAATTGTTAATAAAAAAATTAAAAAATAATAATAATGCAAGCCCCCCCCCCAAAAAACCTGGCACAACTGTTATCTCTGCCAGCTTTCCATCTTTAGGTTTTATTGTGGACATACCTGCAGCAGAAATTAAATGGCAAAAGGTGCTCCCTTGGTTGTGACGCCATAAAACAGGCATAGGGAAACTCGGAGCTCCAGGTGTTTTGAGCCTACAATTCCCATCATCCCTGACCACTAGTCCTGTTAGCTAGGTATAATCGGAGATGTAGTCCCAAAACATCTGGAGGGCCGAGCTTCCCTATGCCTGCCATAAAGGCTTATTGCTGTGCTGTGTCCCATCAAAGAACTATAGCTCTGGAAAGGGACCATGAGGGTCTTCGAGTTCAACCCCCTGCAATGCAGGAATCTTTTGTTCATCATGAGATTCGAACCCACGACCCTGAGAATAAGAGTCTCAGTCTCTACCAGCTGAGCTCTCCTTGGTGTCTACCATATTTTTCACTCTATAAGATGCACTTTTCCACTCCTAAAAAGTAAGGGGAAATGTGTGTGAGTCTTTTGGAGCGAATGCAGGCGGGAGGCTCTGCTCAGCGCTCCCTTTAAAGAGCCGCATGAAGCGTGTGGGGGCTTTTTCCCTTGGGGGCTTTTTCCCCGAGCCGCACACACGCTCCGGGCATTCTTTAAAGGGAGCGCAGCTCTTGGGGGAGCCTTAGCCGCACGCAGCCTCTCCCGAGCAGGAGAGGAAGGCTCCCCTTGCCCAGGAGAGGCTGCGCGTGGCTATCCCATAAGCCAGGACAGCAAGTGGGATCGCTGCGCAGCGATCCCACTTGCTGTCCTGGCTTATGGGATTCAGAATTTTTTCTTCTTGTTTTCCTCTTCCAGAAACTAGGTGCGTCTTATGGTCTGTTGTGTCTTATAGAGCAAAAAATACGGTAATTTATGTGGCCAGAGATTTAACAGTAACAAATGTTTTCTCGCTAGATAATCCTCCCAGCTCCTCTTTCTATTTCACACACAAAGATGGCAAATAGGGAGTGTTAGGATGTGGGGACATGCCCCCTTAAGGACCCTTTCCCCACGGGTAGTTGTATGACCTAGGTGGCATGAGAGGAAGGACTCAAGGCTTGCGAGCTCATCGTGTCATTGCCGAAAAGGAGCCCTCACGCTGCAGAGAGGTCTTCCAGGAGCCTGGTCTGGCAGAAAGTGCCATTGACAGTGTTGCCTTTAGTGGCCTTGGCAAATGCCCTAGTTGCTCTCATGTCAGCTGGTGGTGCCCCTGCATGTGGGAAAGGAATAACAGATTTAGTTTGATTTACACCTCCATGTATGCCAGTTGTTTTGAACTAAGGCCAGAACTCCCTGTTCTCGGTTGGGTTATTTTCAGGGTTGGGAAAATGCACATGACAAATTTCAGGAAAAAAATAACTGCATTTTCACACATTCTAGAAAGAAACAAGCTGTGGTTTGCTCTGCTGTGACAGAGGCTCCTAATTTTAACTGCAGCCTGGTAAACAGATGCTCAGTGTCGGCTGCGTTAGGAATGTGTCTGTCCCAAGAGTCGGCTGGTGGAAGGATATAATATTGGAGTGCTGGGCAGATCCTTTGGCTGCAATCCTAAACACATTTACTGGGCAATAAGTTGCATGGAGATCAATGGGACTTGCTTCTGAGCAGTCATGTTCAGGATTGTGCTATTTGTGGACCTGAATGATAAAAATTAAGGTTGCAGGTCTCCTCTGTAGTAAGTTTGTATAGGATTGTGGTCTAATGCTTCAGTTTATCTATGATACAAAAGGTAATCAACAGAGCCGTAAGTTAAGAGTATGCCTATTTATTTATTTAATTCCATTACGATTCTGGTGTGTTAGCATTTCTTTAAATTATCCTCTCTATCACTATCTCAATAAGACCCCTTAACAGAAGTATTTAGGTAGCATTTTTTGTCTGTTTGTTGCATTATTATTATCATCATCATCCACATCAATCAAAGTACAAGTCTGTCAAAATATAATTTCAACAACAACAAAAGGGATACATTAATGATATAAATATGATATCTTGCATTTTTTATTAGTGTAGTGCATATTCCCCAACATGGGGACTACTGCCTGCAACACCCTAAATCCAGAGCTGGAATGGCTTTAGCCACTCAGCCATTAGGTAAACTTCCTAGCAGACCGGAGGCAGGGATGCATTGAGGCTGGTGGTGTCAATATATCCACTGTGGGACTCAAGTGGTGGCAGATGTGGAGGAGGGCCTAGCTGATGCAGATCTGCAGACTTAGCCCTGCTGTTTGAAGGTAAAAATCCCACTAGGCAGACACTAGGCGTTGGGTCTAAGGGAGGAACGGCTAAGGGAACTGGGCATGTTTAGCCTGGAGAAGAGGAGGTTAAGGGGTGATATGATAGCCATGTTCAAATATATAAAAGGATGTCACATAGAGGAGGGAGAAAGGTTGTTTTCTGCTGCTCCAGAGAAGCGGACACGGAGCAATGGATCCAAACTACAAGAAAGAAGATTCCACCTAAACATTAGGAAGAACTTCCTGACAGTAAGAGCTGTTCGACAGTGGAATTTGCTGCCAAGGAGTGTGGTGGAGTCTCCTTCTTTGGAGGTCTTTAAGCAGAGGCTTGACAACCATATGTCAGGAGTGCTCTGATGGTGTTTCCTGCTTGGCAGGGGGTTGGACTCGATGGCCCTTGTGGTCTCTTCCAACTCTATGATTCTATGATTCTATGGGTCACCTAAAGATCTAGTCAGATCCCAGGCCATCATATTTTGTCGTTGCTGAAATCTAGTTCAGCCGGGTTGAAAAGCATGGAAGCTGCTCCTGCAGTTCATTAACCAGCAATACCTTTTCTTGGCTAACTCGCTCCCTGATGGATCGTACCTAATATTAACAACCACTAATTATGCCTTGCTCACCCTCTTATTTTTTACCTCCTACGAGCGAGTGCATTGACAAGCCCAGCAGCGTCTGAAAAGCCTGCCTTTCCTCCACGGATTCCTCTTGCACTCCAGTCTCCTCAAAATAGTCTGGAGATTAATGCAAGGTGATATTATTAGAAGCAAGCCCTTATCCCCAAAAGGCTGCTATGCGTCGAACACACTGTCAAACATTCTACATTCAGACCCCGTTTTTAATTTCCCATGTCTGACCTGCGCGTTGCAGATCCTCTTAGCACTGAGCAATAATCACACGAGGTTTGGCCTGCGACTTGGCAGAGGGAGAAGATTTTGCAGTGCAAACACAGCTTGGATGCAATGTCCTGATTCCAAACAGAAGGAGGGAAAATCAATAGTGAATGGCATTTCTCTAGCTCTCAATGTTCTGTGCATTAACCCTTGAGAGGGCCTTATCTGCACTGGCTTTTGATCATGAGTCTGTGCCAACTCGAGGCTCTTTTTCGTATGCCTTTTAACCGCTGGAAATCAGAGCAGGCATGTGTTGGTCTCAGAGTATTAACTGTGCCTAAAATAGCATGGCTATGAAGTGGGGCAGATTTCTCCCACCTCATTTTATTGCACTGTTCAAAACCTCATTCTAACTGGAATCCTGCAGATCGGATATTGCTGCTGCCACTGCCTGCAAGAAAAGCTGATCGTTCCAGGCTACACAGAGCTTCTCTCCCGCTGAAGCAGCCCAGCCCTAAGACTGGCATGCAAACAATAGTGTGAAGCATTTTAAGACGCTCATAAAACAGGACGCTAAGCAACAGGCTCACACAGCCCAGGGGCGGCAAAACCCAGTAAGCAAGCACAAGCAGAAGACAGAGAACGTCAGAGCAAATGTAGTCGGATTCCGTCGTGAGAGCCAACTTCTTGTAGTGGAAAGCATGCAAGGTCGTGGAGTCTGAGAAACTGCATTTCCGAGTCTTTCAGCACAACATGCTAAGTTTCTGTTTCCTGTGTTGCTTCCCAGCAAACTACATGGCAGATGGGGATTATTCCAAGGCCCACCCTCTGCTGGCCTTGATTTCAAGAACAGCAGCAGGGACTCTGGAAAGCTAGGTATATTTGTTGCAGAAGCCGCCAGCTGTGTGGCGCTTTGAGATGTGGTGACTTCCTGAAGAGATATGCCCGTATCCAGCAGCTGCAGAGACCTCACAGGCTTTGCAAAACAGCATCTTCCCTTAATCAGAAACACAGAAAGCAATAGCTTATTTAACTTATATGCAGAATTCATCATGCAAAAGGCTTGGGCTGGATGAATCCCAAACTGGAATTAAGATTGCCGGAAGAAATATCAACAACCTTGGATATGCAGATGATACAACCTTGATGGCAGAAAGTGACTGGGGCCAAACTGACCCTTGACCCCCTGTCCATTGCAGCGCCCGCAGCAGGGAAGACCCCTCACTTGCAAGTACAATGGGGAGGGGATGCTGGAGGCTTCAGAAACACCCCCACCAGAAGATGTAGTCAAGACATCAGATAGGTGGGACCCCTGCCAGGGTGCAAGGACTCTAGCAAGATACCCAGTATGCCAGATGCTAATCCAGGTCTGCAGAAGAGGAAATAGAACAGTGGGGGCGGGGGGCGTGTTTTGTTGAAAATAGGTCAATAAATGCCACAAGGCAATTTGGAACAGAATATTTTCCCCCTCTTATCTAATGAGAACGTTACCGTTTTCTGACACGTCTCCCCACAGATTTAAAAGAGCATTTAGGCAGAATATAAAAAAGAGGTTTAAATCCCCGGAGAACCTCTTTTTTCTTTTTGCAGTGGTCGAAGGGTGTAATTAAACAGAATCAGAAGCAAAGGGCATGCCGCCCAGATTAAGAGGCTGCTGTTTAAATTGCTTTCAGACGCCACTGTTATTAAAAGCGGAATGCTTTTCACCTTGTTTGAGAGGCGAGGGGCAGACCTTCAATTCAATTGCCTTGAGCTCCCCAGCGCAGTGTAGAGTCACTCAGATCTTTCGGAGTTTTGGAAATGGCATGAGGCAGAGTTATTTATATATTTAAGGCATTTTTTTTTAGTGCCTTTAAGAAAAATGAATCACAGGCCTGCGTTACTCCTGCTGTGGGTTATATTATTATCACTCGCTGCTGTTGATGATACGGCCAACTTAAATTTTGCTTCGCTGTTTTTCGCTTGTTGAAAGATGCATCAAGCCTTGAAGGGCTACATTTTTTAATAAGAAATAAATTGAAAAGAGAGAGAAAATTGGACTGTCAACCAGTTAAATAATGGCTGGTACCTTCTGCCATATGACTGTCTGGTTTTGTTAAATGTAAATTAAATTACATATTTCTTGTGCTGTATTCAGGTGCCTTATTGAGACATTGAAAGAAGCGTATGATAACTTACAATTTAATTAACAAATCCTACCATTCAGAAAAGGCAGGGCCAGCTTCAATATTTGGTTTTTTTTATTTTAATTTTTTAAAAAAGTAATACCAGAAGCAAAAGCTCTAAATCTAGTCCTTATGGCTGAGAATAAATTTTATTTTTATTTATTGCATATATACA